CGAGAATGACAGACACATCACCAGCTCTGGACTGCTTACCTTTGGACTACTGTGTAAGAGCGAACCAAACTTCTGTTTTGTTTAAGTCACAGTATTTCGGGCCTCTGACCACCTGGACTTATACTCGAAGTAATATAGATTCAAGCCATACCTATACCCAGAAACCTATACTTCCTTATTATTTACACTTGTGTTTTTTTATTTCAAATTGTATGTTTTCCTTTTCAAAAATTAAACTGTTAGCTAGTGCTTTGTCTAATTTTTCTTTTTCAAAGAGCCAGCTTATAGATTTACTCATCTTGGTGTACTTAGAGTTTTAAGATTAGTTTTGCTACTTTCATCCTTGAATAAATCTCTAGCCATTTATGGAATTATTGGGTCACATCCTCTCCTCTGCAACATTCTTTCTACATTGTTCCATTGTCTTATGCCGCCTAAAACTGCTGAAAAGAAGTCTGAGGCCAGTCGCATTTTATTCCCCCCGGTAGATTATCTGCTTCCTCTATCTGGATGTTCGTCGTAAGGTGCTTTTGTTATCTCTAAGACTTAGGAACTTTACAAGACATATTCTGGTCTCAACGGTTTCTTTGTTCAGTTTACCTGAAATATAGTAAATTCTATTCATTTGCCAAATTGAGTCTTTTTGTTTCAGAAATTGCTTTTTCTTTTATGTGTTTGACTACCTTTTCGATTCCATTTGTTTCCTCTTCATCAGGGACTCGACCTGTCTGTTGGATCAACAGAAATGTCTTACGGATTTACCATTATCCTTCCAGTGGTGTCATCTCCTTGTCCTTCACTGTGTTCTGTGTGCTAGGCTCAAGCCTGTTATCCATGTCACTGATTCAGCTTTCTGTCATGTCAACTCTACTTCTTGTGGATTCTAATGTGACTTTTAGATATTTAGTGGGTTTTTCTTCTGTTTCTTTCCTTATAGTCCCAAGTCTCTTTTCATCTGATTTTGATATCTCTGATTTTTTGTTGTTGTTTCCTATGTAAGACCCTCAGGTTGTATTTAATTTCCTTGAGGGCACAGAAAAGATGCTTTTCAAAGACTTTATTCTATTTCTTGCAATCGTTTTTCTTCTGATATGTATTCTTTATAAGTATTTTCCTACTGAAATTCTTTGGGATCCCATAGTAGCACCATACTAAGAAATCTTGATGATTTTAATGAAAGCAAAACAATATCTGAATCCACCAGTCCTTTACATGTAACTTCTATTTCACAGGAAATATAGTTGCTAAAGAAGCAAGATAAATACCACCAGGAAGTAGCCAGACAAATCCAGAAGGTGGGTCATTCTGTAGGACAAGGGACTCAATTGCTTCCACTAGTAAGGGTCCTAAAAAGGGACTGTACTAGATCAAAATAAACACAGGGGAACTGTGGTCCTGGATTGGATACTGATTTGGATAAAGCAAGTATAAGAATAATTGGAGTTAATTTGACAAATTTTGATATGGCCTGGAAATCACATGAGATGAAAATACACCAAAACACAAATGTAGAGAGTGTTGACTGAATAAAACAGGTTATAAAGCATTTTTTAGAGTATGATCCATTTTGGTACACACATGTAGGTAGTTATTACAGTCATGTTTTCTGGAAGGTAGGAATATGCTGTTTGTTTTTTGAACTTGTCTGTATTTTCTAATGTGCTACAAAGCACATGTTCTGCTTATGTAACAAAGTTTTTTAAAATAGTGACACAGATTTAAATGGGACAGCTTTCCCATGAAGATCATAAAACTTAAGTTTCAGGGCCCCATAGTCCCATGGGCCCTTCCGAGGGCCAGTTTTTTGTCCTACGTTGTGGGATTTTAAAATTTTGATTTTTTTTACGTTTCACCATTTTTTATGGTGGTAAAATATACATCATGTAAAATGTACTATTTTAATCACTTTTAGGTTTACACTTCAGTGGCATTACGTACATTCACATTGTTGTGCAACCATCATTACCACCCATTTCCAGGACTTCGTCATCTTTCCAAACTGAAACTCTGTACCCATTAAACAACTCTTAATACTCCCCTCCCTCCAGTCTTTTTATTATTATCTTTTTTTAAATACTCACCTGAGGATATCTTTTTATTGATTTTTAGAGAGACAGAGGAAGTGAAAGAGAGAGAGAGAAATATTGATGTAAGAAAGAAACATTGGTTGGTTGCCTCCTATACGCACCCCCACTAGGGAGCAAACCCACAACCTAGGTGTGTGCCCTGACCAGGAAGCAAACCTGCCACCTTTTGATGTATGTAGTTGTATCCGCTGGTTTGAAGTCTGGCTCAATATAACCAACTGACCCACCCAGCCAGGGCCAGTCTTTTTATTTTTAATAATCTCCAAAATTGCATAAGCTTTAAACACAAAACCTGGGTCCAGTACCAACTGACAAACAGATATCCTGGTCATTCCTGAGCAATTGAAATGATACCTGAGACTGCCAAAGTGACTTTAGCCTCACACCAATGTATAGTCACCAAAGTGCTCATCACCAAAATGTGCAAAAGGCAAGAATTGTGGTAGCATCAACATCACTGAATACACAGGAAGAGGAAAGCAATGAGTCTCTCCTGTCATTGGAAAATATACAACTTTCTCCAGAAGCTATAACTCTGTCATTCTTAAGGTCCTAATTTCTCATAAATTAACCATAATTTCTTCATTGCTTGGAATTATTGATAAATAGTACCATCATTTCCTGTAAAATTGGTCCAGAAGAGTAGATAGTAGTTTTATGTAGTTGTGTCAGCTGGTTTGAAGTCTGGCTCAATATAACAGAAAATCCTAATTTATCTTATTCAGATTAGTATCATAGTTTTATGATCATCAAAGAACTGGAGCCCTTCTATCTTGCTACGCTACCCTCCTTAGCATACTGCTTCATGACCAAAGGGCTGCTCAAGCTCCAGCCCTCAAGTTTGTATTCCAGCCAAAAGGAAAAAGCAAGGTGTGAATAAGAGCACGTCCCCTTCCTACAATGATTCCTTACATCAACTGCACTGAACACTGGAGCTTGCACCACTTTTGCCAGAACATAGTCATGTGGCCTTACCTAGCTGGAAGGGAGACCCGGAATAATAACCTTTATTCTAAAAAATTGTGCCCAGTGAGAAATTCTATTAGTAAAGGAATGGAGACAATGGATAATAGGATGGACAATTAAGTATTTTTCAAATGGTTTTTTAAAGGATGCAGTGTGCTAGTTTTTGAGGTTTGGTGGAGCAGGTCGAAGGGGTAGACATCTTAAAGCACCATTTCTATCACTGCTGAGTATTTTGTTTAGAGTGAAGAGCCCACCTCCTCACCTTAGCTTTCTAGACTTGGTGCTAAATAAAGCCTTCCTCCACACACTGCAAAGTGGGTTCGTTAGGATTATATGGAAAAGGGAGAGAGACATTTTCCCAATGGAAGAGGACTTTTGAATGTTCAATGGCCAAATATTTCTAAATCACATATCTACGCCAATAAGCTTTCCTGTTGTGGGTAAGCTTTAACTGTGAAAAGCATCATATCAAGGTATCAATTGCCATCACGTTTTGTACTGTGTCTTTCTAGGGAAATATAAACCACAGGACGTAGTCTCTGCCTCATCCTTAGAGAACGTTACCATGGAGGACATTTCCCCACATGGTCAACAAAAGAAAATGAGGAACGAGTGCAGAAGTTGCTTTACCCACCAGGGAGCTAGTACAGGGGCTTGAGCAGGAGCACAATAGAAATGACTGGCCCTGCCCGTTTGGCTCAGTGAATATAAGCGTTGCCTGCGGACTGAAGGCTCCTGGGTTCGATTCTGGTCAAGGGCACATGCCTGGGTTGTGGGCTCAATCCCCAGTAGGGGGTGTGCAGGAGGCAGCCGATCAATGATTCTCTCTTGTCATTGATGTTTCTATCTCTCTCTTCCTCTCCCTTCCTCTCTGAAATCAATAAAAACATATTTTAAAAATAGAAATGACCAAGTGAGGGGCTGATAGAATCAGATGACTTAATGATGAAATACAAAATAAATCTTAGAGCTTGTACATTGCATCTATTGGTTGTCAAATTGCTTTTCTGAATTTATCACATTTGACCTTTATGGTCAATCCATTACTTAATACATCCTGATATTTTGTCCAAATTAGAGTAGGATTTCTCTCTGAGATGGACTTGAATAGTGGCCAGTCAGCTTGGTTCTTTGCCCCTGATCTAGCCACCCCAGGACTTGGGCTCTTTCTTCCTCTGGCCCAGGACTGAGGAACACTGTCACTCTGAGAGGGGGAATGGCTTGTTGATCCCGCAGAGCTGCTCATCGGGGTTCTGTTCCTCCCAGCTGGCACCCTCACAAAGCCAGCCTCTGGGTAAGAAACTAATGACTTCTACTGCTCCTTCAGTTTGACCTCCTAAGGGACCTAGGCCTGCAGAAGTAACCAGCCAGCCATAGCAGAGCACAGAGAGGCACCAACAACTCCCTCCATAACCAGAAAAGGCTACTGCAGATACACCAGGGCGTGTGGGGGCCCACATCATGTAAAGCATGGGAAGGCTGGGTTTTACAGAAACGGCCCTTAAAACTCTTTGGCAGGTGGGTTGCATTAAGAGTAAGGGAGGCTTGAAAGGCAGGGAAGGTATTTTTCTCTGAGCAGTGGAAGGAGCTTCCCAACTTCCGCTTGGCTCACTTCCTTCTCAGCTCACTACCTCCCTCACTTCCTTCTCAGCTCACTACCTTCCTCACTTCCACCTGGCTCACTTCCTTCTCAGCTCACTACCTCCCTCACTTCTGCCTGACTCACTTCCTTCTCAGCAAGCTCTGGGGGTCCTCGGGTTCCAAGAAGGGCTGGAGAATGTCAGGGCATAAACAGCCAGCAAAGCACTCTGGAGGAAGAGGGCGGCTCCTCCGCATTTCCCTTTCCTGCAGGCTTGCCCTGGTTTTTCATGATGTCATCCATTCATCATTGTGAGCTGATTGGCGGTCCCAGGCCTTGGCCTGCTGCCCAAGGCCAGAAGGGCAGAGAGAGGTCCCAGGACAAATGTGCAGCAAGCCCCTGAGCATGTGCGGAAATGTTGTCATCAGCTCCACCTAGAAAGACTTGGTGGAAATCGAAAGCAGTAAAAGTCACAAGATCCTATCCAACTTTCTCTTCCCTGAATGCCTGGGAAGAATTCAGGGGCCTCTTGCCTGTGGATGGAGAACCAACCCCCGGAGTGGGCCTGGGTGTGGAGGAGGGACTGCTCTGCCAGATGGTTCACTCTCCAGAATTCAACCTGTTTCCTGACTCCGTGGTGTTTGAAAGCAACTTTGTCCAGGTACTCCGGAGTCACTCAGCGGGCACTCCTCGGTCCTCCTAAACCTGTTCCCAAGAGCTGGCCAGGAGAGTCTGTCCCTGGAACTGGAGCGGAGCGAGCGCTGGGGCAAGGAGCGGTCAGTGGGCCTGGAATACAAGGCCACCCCCACCTGACCCTGACTTTGCAGAGCCCCAGACGGGGCTTCTCCTGCCGTCAGTTGTCATCCCCGGGGAGAGAGGCCAGGCGTTCTCTGCGCTGATTGGAGGATTTGGTATCTGAATCCCCCAGTTTATTTCCTCCCGCAGGAAGCCCAAAGCAGCCGATCAGAGAGGCAGTGAAACAAGATGCCCCTTGAGGGTGTGGAACAGAAATGCTGATTGATGAGAGAACAAAAGCTGGGCCCCAGAGAGACCTGGGCTCAGAGTGCAGTCCAGGAGGCATCACTGTGCAAGCAACCTGCAACCCTGAATCCCAGGGTCCTCTAATGTAAAAGGGGTCGACTGACACGAGGCTTATATGCACACCCAGGAGGCAAAGGCCTTGGTACAAGGGGCACTCAGTGCACTTTTGTTTCCGGCCTGGGCTCTCTTCTCAGCGCCTGGGAATTACGAGGGACCTTACAGAGCAGGGAAGGTGTAGGAGACTGTAGGGCCCCTCAAAGAAGGGCCAAAGGACGTTTTTCAAAGAAAAGCCAGGAAACAGTCTAGGGAGGGTCCACAGAAATGTGCCACATGCCAGGGGACTCCTGGGTGATAGTTCTCGTGGGGAGATGCTAACAGTAGGTAGTGTCAATACGCTTACAGTTGTTTCTCCAATATAGGTTTAAAACAGTGGTTCTCCCCTAGCGATGATTTGCCTTCTAAAACCAGGGCACATTTGGCTGCGTCTGGAGACATTTTTGGTTGTCACTACTTGGGCGGGGTGGGGGGCTGTGCTACTGGCATCTAGTAAGTGGAGGCCGAGGATGCTGCTAAACACCCTGCAGGACACAGGGCAGCCCCCCACCCCCCCAAACAAAGCATTACCCTGCCCGCAATGCGAATATTGCCCAAGTTGAGAAACTCTCAGCTGAGATGTGTTGCTCCTTCTGCCAAATCTCAGGCTGTGCCCATGGGGCTGCTTTGCAGGTCAAGAAGGACAGGAACTGGATCAACATCTGCAAAGCCTCCTACACCATGGCCCTCGGGGTGACCTCCTCCGTGCCCTGCCTGCCCCTTCCCAACATCCTCCTCATGGCCCGCGTCAAATGGCACCGGGGGCAGAGCCAGACGTGGAACAGACCATCGCCAGCGCCAAACATCATCCTGAAGAGGTGAGCGACACCCTTGGGAATGAGGGACAAGCGGGGGGAAGGGGGTGGACCCAGAGCAAAGGCTGCTCTGAGACTAAACTCAAGGTGGGAGAAAGCAGAGGTCAGCAGCAGCGACGTTAATTTTTCAGGCAACAGTAACCTAAGACAGTGGGCGCACTGCAAGCACCGTGGTCAGATGGGGTCAAGAGAGGCATTGTGTGGACAGGAATAAGGGGCCAATCTACATGCTCCCTTTCCTCCTCACTGCACTCACCTCACTGAATTCTTAGGAAATCTCTCTGCCAACGGCAAGAAAGCAGTGAGACCCGACAGATGGAGCACAGGCCGGGAGCCGCAGGTTCTAGTCCTTGGCATGCAATTAAAGAGACTCATACACTGTTTGAGTCATAAGTTACTTGATGCATCTTAGTTTTCCTACCAGTAAAATGAGTGGAGCTAAGTGTCATGAGAACTGTAATATATACTCACATCATGCTTGTCTAGGATGAAACAGCCCTTTTTAAAATATATGTTTTTATTGATTTCAGAGAGAGGAAGGGAGAGGGAGAGACAGAAACAACAATGATGAGAGAATCATTGATCGGCTGTCTCCTGCAGGCCCCACACTGGGATCGAGCCAGCAACCCAGGCATGTGCCCTGAGCAAGACTCGAACCATGACCTCCTGGTTCATAGATCAATGCTCAGCCACTGAGCCACACCGGCTGGGCAGAAACAGCCCTTTTTAATGTCTGAGCCTCTTCAAGTAATCTGTAGGCTATTCAAGAATCTCTAGCCCTAGCCAGTTTGGCTCAGTGGATGGAGCATCGACCTGTGGACCAAAGGGTCCTGGGTTTGATTCCAGTCAAGGCCACGTACCTCGGTTGCAGGCTCCTTCCCAGCCTGGGCCCTGGTTGGGGTGCGTGCAGGAGGTAAGCAATCAATGTGTTTCTCTCACATCGATATTTCTCTCTGTCTTTCCCTCTCTCTTCCACTCTCTCTGAAAATCAAAGAAAAAATATCCTCAAGTGAGGATTAACAACAACAACAAAAGAATCTCTAGATATTCTCAGAAATCCAGATAAACCCTTCATTTCTCCATGTTGCCTGAGTGATAAATCTCCATTATGTTTTGGAGTACCTACAGCAAGCACAGCCCAGGCCCAGCTGACCACTGTTCAACCCAAAGCCAGCTCTGTGAACCTTAGCCCCTTTGGGAAGAGTGACTGAGGCAATAGGGCCAATGACTGGACAGTGAGGCCAACTTTGTGGCAGAGGAGAGTAGCTCCCTTGGTGCTATCAAGAAGGAAATGGAAAACCCTGTGACCCCAGCTACTCCTGGGCTGTCTGTCTCAAGCAGGATCCTGGGGCACCAGCATGAAAATCATGGCAGGATGGCTGGAGGTTAAAATGTAGATTCAAGGACACACCCCAGACCTACTGAATCTGAGGGGTATCTTCAGCTGTCTGCATTTTACACAAGCTCTCCAGGTGAACATGACCTCCCCAAAGTCTGAGCCCTATTCCCACCCCCAAAAGCCTGAGTCCTGAAGGAGATACTCCTCATTTTTCATGTATTGTTTGTTTATTTCAAAGAGGAAGAGAGGAGGAGAGAGAGGTAGAAACATTAATGATGAGAATCATTGATCTGCTGCCTCCTTCATGCCCCCTCCCCATTGGGGATCAAGCCCACAAACCGGGCACGTGCCCCAACCAGGAATCAAACTGTGACCTCCTGGTTCATCGGTCGATGCTCAACCACTGAGCTACACTGGCCCCGTGACACTCCTCATTTTAATGAAGACAGGGTTGGATCAGAAGCAATGGGGTTGTCAATGTGTGTCTTCCTTCATGCCTTCAGGATTCTCCCATTGAAGTTCGTGGAGCTCCAAGTCTGTGACCAGCTCCAACGCATCCTGCGGTTGAGGACGGTCACAGAGAAGATCTACTATCTAAGACTCCACTCTGACCATCCTGAGACTGTCTTCCACTTCTGGATCCGACTAGTTCAGATTCTGCAGAAGGGCCTGTCCATCACCACCAAAGACCCTAGGATTCTTATCACCCACTGCCTGGTGCCCAAGAGTAGCTGCAGCGTCTCAGGAGACTCTAAGGTCAGTGGGCACCATTGCCACCTCCAGCCAAGGCCAGAGCTGAGGGGTAGAGCTGAGGTGAGCTGGCATGTGAGTAAGCACCCTGTGAAGGCAATCCCTGCCTTTAATTGAGGTATAGTGTACAACCACCTGTAAGATTCGCCCATTGTAAGTGTACAGTTCAACACTTCCAATAAATGTATAGGATTGTGCGCCCATCACCACAACCCAGTTTTAGAACACTTCCATCACCATAAAAAATTCCCTTGTGCCCATTTAAAGTCACTCTCTGTTCCTATTTCCTGCCCCAGGCAGCCAGTGATCTGTTTTCAGTCTCTATAAATTCATATTTGTTAGACATTTCATATAAACAAAATCCTACAACAGTCTTTTGTGTCTGGCTTCTTTCACTCAGCATAATTTTTTCAGGTTCATCCATATCAGAGTCATAGATGATCAGTAACTCATTCTTTTTTTTAAAAATTGATCTTTGAGAGAGGAAGGGAAGAAGGGAGGGGGAGGGGGAGAGAGAGAGAGAGAGAGAGAGAGAGCGAGCGCATCGATGTGAGAGACATCAATTTGTTGCATGCTATCGGCCGGGAATCAAACCCGCCACTTTTTGTTGTATAAGACGACACTCCAACCAACTGAGCCACACCAGCCAGAACTAATTCATTCTTTTCCGTTGCTGAATGGTATTCCATTGTATAGATTTGCCACATTTTGTTTATCCATTCACCGTTGATGGGCGTTTGGATTGTTTCCAGTTTGAGGCTGTTATGAATAATGCTACTATGAACACTTATGTACAAGTTTCTCTATAGACACAGTTTTCATTTGTTATGGGTACGCCAAGGGATGAAATTTCTGGGTCATATGTTAACTTTACCTTTAAATTTTAAAGTAATTGGCAAACTGTTTTCCAGAGTGGCTGTACCATTTTATATTCCTACCAGCAATGCATGAGGGTTTCACCAACACTATAGTATTTTGTCTGTCTTTTTTGTTAAAGCCATTCTACGGATATGTAACGGTTTCGCCTTTGATTTCTTCAATGGCTAATGATGTTGAGTGATTTTTCACGGGTTTATTAGTTACTTGTATATCTTCTTTGGTGAAATGTCTATTCAAGTCTTTTTTTTTAAGTCTCATTTATTACTGCACCAACCTACTACTGAAGAAAAAAAATCAACAGAGAAATATCATTGTTCCAATAATTTCCCAATTAAAATGTCCAACTGTCCAGACAGTAGTGGTCTTTTCTGTCATTTAAAGGTGCAGGTAACCTGGATGCCACATAAATATGGGAGCCATCTCTCATGTGCGATTCCTTATAGACCCAGTTTGGTTTTTCTCCAATGTCTCCTCTTGGAGTTGTACCTGATTTTATTACCAGTTTTCATCCAAACCCATTGGGAAATGGGCTGATTCTGCTTGTTTCTTGGCCAGGAACCTCTCGATCCTGAGAGTCTTGTGAGAAGACATGGCGAAGGAGAATCAACTGAACACACCGTGATGGCGGAGGAGGAGCTCGAGTCTTCTTTGGTGAAATGTTTATTCAAGTCTTTTGTTGAAAAACCCATTTTTAAATTGAGTTTTGTCTTCTTGAATTGCTATAATTTTTTGTATATTCTGAATATAAGTCATTATTAGATATATGATTTGCAAATATTTTCTCCCAGTGTGTGAATTGTCTGTTTATTTTCCTTTTTTTAAAAAAAATCCTCACTCAAGATATTTTTCCATTGATTTTAGAGAGAGTGGAAGAGATAGGGAAAGATAGAGAGAAATAACGATGTGAGAAAAACACATCTGTTGGTTGCCTCCTGCACGCGCCCTGACCAGGGCCCGGACTGGGGAGGAGCCTACAGCCGAGGTACGCGCTCTTGACTGGAATCCACAGGCCAATGCTCTATCCACTGAGCAAACCGACTAGGGCATCTTTTTATTTTCTTAATGGCGGCCTTTGTGGAGCAAAAGTTTTTTTTTTAATTCTTTATTGTTTAAAGTATTACATGTGTCTCCTTTCCCCCCATTGACCTCTCCCCAGCCATTCCCACCCCCAGCACATAAAAGTTTTTAATTTTGATGAAGTGTAATTTATCAATTTTTTTCTTTTATAGATCAGGCTTTTGGTGTTGTAGCTAAGACTTTTTTTTTCAACCCAAAGTCACAAGTATTTTACCCTATGTTTTCCTCTAGAAGTTTATAGATTTAGCTCTTACAGTTAAGTCTATGATCTCCTTATGCATTACTATTTGTGTATGGTGTGGGAAAGTGTCTAAGTATTTGTGGTGTCACATGTGGATGTACAATTTACCCAGTACCATTTGTTGAAAAAATTATCCTTTCCTCCATTAAATTATCTTGCACTTTTGTCAAAAATCAATTGAAAGTAAATGTAAGGATTTATTTCTGGATTCTCAATCCTGTTTAATTAATGTGTATGCCTAGTCTTGTGTAATACCACAATGTCTTGATTAATGTAGCTTTATAGTAAGTTTAAAATTGGCTGTTGTAAGTCTTCCAATTTTGTTCTTTTTCAAATTATTTTGGCTATTCTAAATCCTTTGTATTTCCATATAAATTTTAGGATTAGCCTATCAATTTCTACAAAATAGATCGCTGGGATTTTGACAAGGACATGTTGATTTTATACATTAATTAGAAGAGAATTGCGATCTTGACAATATTGAGTCTTCAAATATATGAATACTGGAGGGCCAGTGCACAAAATTTGTGCATGGGTAAGGTCCCTAGGCCTGACCATCAATCAGGGCCAATCTGTGGGGTGACTGGCAGGGCAATTGGGGGGCCCCCACTGGCACCCGCCTTGGCTGGCCTGGGGCCTGCGGGCTGGGGGCAGCTCCTACATTGAGCATCTGCCCCCTGGTGGTCAGTGTGCATCATAGAGACCGGTCTTTCTGCTGGTCATTCTGCTGTTCAGTTGATTTGCATATTAGGCTTTTATTATATAGGATGGAATGTCTTTCCATTTATTTCAATCTTCTTTCATTTCTCTTAGCAATGTTTTTTTAGCTTTTAGTATACAAGTTCTGCACTTCTTTTGTTAAATTTATTCCTATCTTTTTATTTTATGGCTACTATTTTAAATGGAATTGTGTTTTATTAATTTTATGTTTGCATCATTCATTGATAGTATATGGAATTGATTTTTTATATCAATCTTGTTATTAAACATAGTATTTTTGTGGTTCCTTGTGATTTTCTACATATACATGTCATCTGCAAATAAAAGACAATTTTACTTCATTTCCAATTCATTCACATTTGTTCATTTATTGCTTATTGCCTTAGCTAAAACTTTCAGTACAGTGTTTAGTAGAAATGACAAAAGCAGACATGTTTATGCCCAATCCTAGGGGGGAAACATTCAGTCTTTCATTAAGTATGATGCTAACTGTGGCATCTTTGTAGGTGCCCTTTATCAGGTTGAGGGAATTCCCTTTTATTCCTTGTTTATTGAGAGATTTTTTGGCATAAATGGGTATTACATTTTTTCAAATGTCTTTTTCTGCATCTATTGAGATGGTCATGTGGTTTTCCCTTTATTCTATTAGAATAGTGTATTATATTCATTGATTTTTAAATGTTAAATCAACTTTGTGTTCCTGCAGTAAATTTCACTTAGTCGTGGTGTGTATGTATATTCCCTTTTATATGTTCCATGATTCAGTTTGCTAGCATTTAGTTAAGGATTTTGCATCTATGTTCATTAGAAATGTTGGTCTGTAGTTTTCTTGTGATATCCTGGCTTTGGTATTAGGATAATACTAGCCTCACTGAATGATTTGGGAAGTGTGTCCTCCTCCTCTATTTTCAGAGCTTATGAAGACTTGGTACTATTACTCCTTTAAGTATTTAATAAAATTCACCAGTGAAGCCACAAGGGCCTTTTTGCCCCAGGCCTTAGAGTGTGATATAAGACTGACTTGAGCTACAACAGGAGCTCCATGAATGCGGGGGTTTTTATCTGTCTTCTTCACGGCTCTATCCCCAGTGCCTGGCACACAGTTGGCACTCAGTAAAGAATGAATGGATGACTATGAGCAGCTTGTACTTCTGGAACACCTTCGGGGTATCGCAGGCAACAGGAAAGAAGGCAATTTACGTCAGGTGTAAAAAGCAGCTCAATATCCGACTTTTCTTAGAGAAGTCAATTTTTAAAACATTCATTAAACTCCTACAATAAATATTTTATTCCCCTACATTTAAATATAAAAACCAATAGCATCTGAATAGGCTATTGATAACATTAAGGTATATTAATGAGAATAGGTTATGTACTAAATTATGTCTAAAGTATTCAATGACAGCCCTAGCCGGCTTGGCTCAGTGGATAGAGCCTCAGCCTGTGGACTGAAGGGTCCCAGGTTCAATTCCGGCCAAGGGCACATGCCTGGGTTGCGGGCTTGATCCCCAGTGAGGGGCGTGCAGGAGGCAGCTGATCAATGATTCTCTCTCATCATGGATGTTTCTCTCTCTCTCTCTCTCCTTCTCCCTTCCACTCTGAAATCAATAAATATATACATTTTAAAAAATAAAATAAAATAAAGTATTCAATGACAATGTTATCCTTTGGGCACCAAAGGATATTTATAACAATCCAGGGGGTATAAGCAGATATGGCCTCAGAATTGCCTCTCTGAACCCCTGGCATGGCCACCCAATGGAACAGTTTGAGTTTTAACACTTTAGGGTTTGGATCATGATATTAGGAAAATACAGAGACTCTAGGGTCTTAACCATCTGGTTTTGCTTTTTTTTTTCCTCCCATCCAGTTAGTACAGAAGAAACATCAAGCCTCCCAGCCCAGCGAGAGCCTCCTGCAGTTGATGGCCAAGGGGGAGAGTGAGGCCCTCTCTCTGATTTTTGCTGACTTACACCAGCACAACCGGTTCAGGTACACGACTTAAATCAGGCCAGCCTGACATCCCTCTGCAGCCCAGATGGCCTGGGCTGTGAGATCCAAAAACCAAGTAACTTGGTTAATGAGCACAGGGAGGGGCATGAAATACTGCCACTCAGGACCCAGGGTTATCCCTGACTCAGGGCAACCTTTTCCCAGTTCTCTTGGCCATATTCTCTTCCTCCACGTGGCAAGCATAGTAGTCTTGACTCCAGAGGAGGAATCTTATAAAAAATGAAAAGTGCCCTGGTCAGGTAGTTCAGTTGGTTGGAGTGTCATGCAGCACACCAAAAGGTTGCAGGTTTGGTCCCTGGTCAGGGTGTATACAAGAGGCAACCGATGGATATTTCTCTTTCTTCTCTCTCTCTCTCTCTCTCTCTCTCTCTCTCTCTCTCTCCCCTCTCCTTCCCTTCTCTCTAAAAATCAATAAACATATCCCCAGTTGAGGATTAAAAAAGAAAATAAAAGTAACTCTCCAATAATAAGAATAAGTTAGTAACACCGGTAAAAAAGTAAAACCTAATTTCTCATCCAGTTCCTAGTCCCTACAGAGAAATAAACAAAACATTGTTTAAAACACTGTCTGCTCCGTGGGTTCCTTGACCTACTCACCTGGCCTCTGATTGGACTTTATGAATCTTCTATGGTCGTTTTCTCAATGTATAGCCTGTTCTGGAAAGCTCCATTGTGCAGGCCTGTATTTCCCATGCCTGAGGAAATGTCCATGTATGTGTAGATGACTTAAGGTTTGAGTCTTAAGACTGGTTGGTATGCCCTAACCGGTTTGGCTCAGTGGATAGAGCGTCGGCCTGCGGACTGAAGGGTCCCAGGTTTGATTCCGGTCAAGGGCATGTACCTTGGTTGCAGGCACATCCTCAGTAGGGGGTGTGCAGGAGGCAGCTGGTCAATGTTTCTCTCTCATCGATGTTTCTAACTCTCTATCCCTCTCCTTCCTCTCTGTAAAAAATCAATAAAATGTATTTTTTTTTTAAAAAAGACTAGTTGGTATGAGAGAGACAGGAGTTGAAAATACTTACTCCACTGGGCACTACAACCAAGACCAAAGATTAAGTGGGATCTAGGGCCCTAGTGAACTCGATTTGTGGCTTGTTGTTTGTTTTGTGTGTGTGTGTTTTTTAAAAAAGGAGGACAGAAATAAATTGTAATGATCACCAGAAGAAAAAAACAAAGTTATCAAAGAAGAGATTTTGTCACAACAGGGACCAGCAGTTAAGACACAGAACAACAAAAAGAAAGTTTTCTTTGAGAGTGCCGTTAGTAAACTGAAAACCAACAGAGTCTGAGAAGATAAGTCTCTCAGGGTGGGTCAGAGCTCACACAGAGCTGGGCCCAAGTCACTGCTCTGCCTGTGAGCCCGTGGGCACATTGCTTAACTCTCCGGGGCCAGTTTTCAGATCTGCACAGTGGAAATGATGATAGTTCCAACCGCATCCAGATATTGTCAGGATTAAGTGAGCCCCAAAGCATGAAGTGCTTGACACACTCCTTAGCAGATTTAGGGGCAGATTTAAATAAACTCTCAATAAATATTAACTTGTATTATTAAGGCTGCCTTGTGCTAGAAGTAGAAATATATTAACACAAGAAAAATAGTTAGTTGCCCACTGTTAAAGAATTTCTACTGGGTCGCCACTCTGCATATCATATAGAAATCTATAACTTAAGAAATTTCTGGATCAAGTGTCACCTAAATAAATTTAAAAAATTTTTTAAATTTCTGAATAAGATGTCATACCTCTGAGCTGGGGAGTGCTGGACTCTAATAGAACAGGATATGTTGATGTAACTTTTTGTCTCAAAATGTTAAAAATTTAAATTTTTAAAATTACTATTTGAAGGACGGCTTCTGTTTATATTCATAGGCCACAATTCAGTCACATGACCACACTCAGCTGCAACGGAAGCTGGGAAGTGCCTTCTGTATTCTGCACGTGCCCAGTACAGAAGTAGATGCTTGCCCCCAAGGGAGGAGGGAAGAAGAAATCCTGGGGGCCCATTGGCAATCTCTAGCACAGAGAGCTTTGAATATTTCCAGAAGGCCAGAGGAGATTAAAACCTTTATTTGGACACTAGCCAGATCAAGGGCGGAAAACGTGGTACAGGTTAAGGGCACAAATGAGTGTAAGACTGACACTTCATCCTGAGGAAGAAGCGTGATGAGTTTAGAGAACGGGAAGGAAGCCCAGTGTGGGAGGAGGAGTGGCAACAGAAGGACTTTAGTACAAGTGGGCAGGGACCAAACCAGGCAGGACCTGGGGAGCCATGCAAATGAATTTAGACTTTGAGTGTAATGAGAGCCTTAGCACCATTTTTAACTGGGAGGTAACATGATCCAATTTACATGTTGAAAAGGTCATGCTGGCTGTTGCAGTGACATTTGATATGAAGAGAGGGAGAATAGGGGTAGAGGGACCAGCCAGGAAGCTATGGCAACCCAGTCTGGGCTGTCATGTAAAAACAGATCAAAGGAATGTGAGAAGCAGGGAGAAGTTCATTTTTGCTCTGCTGTTATCTCAATCATGGCTTTGTACGGTCATTTAGTTTCTTCTCCTTAATTCCCCAGAATGAAGCCCTGAGGGATGACTTTTCTCCTCACTCAGGCAGACTCTCTAGTCTGGTTGCAATTGTATCCGTTTTTGTGTGTTGGCAACAATATGCAGGTTACAGCAATTGAAATAAATGGCTGAGACACAGGACTCAACAGATGGAGCCACACCCACTCCTCCTCTGCCAAATCCGCAGCAGGGGTCTGCTCCCCGCCACCCCACTCCACCCCACCTCCCCCTTCCCTAGTTTCCTTCTGGTATTTTAATATGTGTCTCACTCACCCAATAGAGCCACAGCTTATATTTGCCTCTAAGGTTTTAGTGTCAAGAAAAAATATAATGAGAAACAAGATTTAAAATGAGAATTTCATCTCTATTTTTTCCCCCTTTGCCCTTCATTTCCTTGATCCTGAAATGGCTGGAGTTCCAGGAGAAGCAAAAAGACCAAGACCAAAAAAGACAACTCAGGTAAACAGGGGGTACTGGGCACCCGTGTCTCAGAGAACCTTTTGCTCTGCAGATGCAGGAATGGAATTGTCTCCCACTCCCCATCCCAGAGTTTCTAGCTGTCAGGATGTCCTTTCATACCTTACCTTGAGTTCCTCTAGACTCTTTGGCCACCATCGTCAACTTGGCACCAAATCCTCCCAATTTCTTTCTTTGAAATGTTTCCTATACTGACAGATCCTCCCCTCGTCCACCTATCACCTCTTGCCTGAACTACTACAGCAACCCTCTAGTTCATTCATTCATTCGCTCATTCAGAGACATGCTACTGAGTACTTGGTAAGTGCCAAACACTGTTGTAGGCTTTGGAGTCCCAGTGAAGAAAGACACAGCAGCCCCTCCAAGGGGGTTATAATTTGGTGGGGTCAGATGGGTAAATCCCCAGATTACAAAACCTCTTCTTCCAGGCAGCACTCAGAGCTCACGCCTGGGGTGCCACAGCGGCACAAAGGCAGGTACCTCACTCCTCCCAGGAAGCTGTCCCAGAGGCCTGGGGTCTGAGCCAAGTCACAGAGGATGAGGACAAGTAGGCTGGCCAAAGCATTCTGGGAAGAGACAGAGTCCGTGTGACTGGAACAGCAGCTGATTCCCTGTTTATCTCCAGGTTCTGGTTTACCCCAAATCTACTCATTTAAACACACACACACACACACACACACACACACACACACACACCTTACCCCAAATCCACTCATTTAAAAAAACACACACACACATATATATATTGATTTCAGAGAGGAAGGGAGAGGGAGAAAGATATAGAAACATCAGTGATGAGCCCTAGCTGGTTTGGCTCAGTGGATAAAGCGTCAGCCTGCGGACTAAAGAGTCCCGGGTTCGATTCCAGTCAGGGGCATATGCCTGGTTGTGGGCTCGATCCCAGTAGGGGGCGTGCAGGAGGCAGCCGATCAGTGATTCTCTCACCATTGATGTTTCTATCTCTCTCTCTCCCTTCCTCTCTGAATCAATAAAAATATATTTTAAAAAAAGAAACATCAATGATGAGAGAGAATCATTGATCAGCTGCCTCCTGCACACTCTTGAGCCCGCAACCCGGGCATGTGTTCCTGACTGGGAATCGAACTGTGACCTCCTGGTTCATAGGTTGATGCTCAACCACTAAGCCATGCCAGCCGGGCAAATCCACTCATTTTGGCATGCATGACTCTACATTAACTTCCCCTTCCTTACCCATCTCACTGATCATTTTCTCCTCAATTAGGTGCCCTCTGCCTCATCTCCTTCTCCAGCCCAAATCTTCCACTCTAGCCACACGTGGGCTGTCCTTGTCCATGCCTTAGACATCCTCCTTCTGCCCCCGCCCCCTGATGCTGCATTCTAAATCCTACCTATCCTTCCAGGTACACCTCACAACACCTTTCTGCCCAGACAAAACTTTCCTTGGTCATAACCTCTGCTACATGATTCCCTAATTGTTTCATAGGTTTCAATCTTGTTTCTTCAACCAATACTACAATTTCTTCCACGCCTCTGAATTATCCACAGTGGCAAGCACCAGGCTGGGAACACAATAGCTCAGTAAATATCCATGCACCACATCATTAATAAATTATTCCTCCAAATTGGCTCAGGAAGCAGCCAGAATTTCATGTTATATTTAGAAATTTAGAGGAGTATGTAGATCCCTGGGGAGCTCTGCCAACTTTCATTCAGGCCAGGGATTACACACTCAACCGTCTGCAGATGGTATAAATGGGTAAAGAGGCTACATGTCATGAGTCTAAGGAATGGTTGACTCTTCTCTCAACTCTATTACAAGTAAAACAGCAGCTGGGCTGACACTTGGTTTCAGCATTGAGGAGAAAATAGGGAGTGTCAGGGACAGTGGCGATGAGAAAGTGGAGGTTTTAATTAAGGCTTCAATTAACTGTTTCCATGCTAGAACACAGGCCTGGTGTTGCTAGATACTCTGGTTTTTTCAAGAGAAGCCAAAAATCTGGATTTTTATGTGACATATTCCCCGCCCATAAAAAAAATTAAAGCACAGTATAGGCCAACACTTAGTGGGCACACAAAACATATCTACAGGCCAAATCCAGCCTGGAGGCTGCCAGTCCCCAGCCCCTGTTCTAAATGGTGAGTGGAGCTGATGCTGGCCCACATTTTCTTCAAATCTGTGAATGCCTCCTCATGTTACGTAACTGATAATAAAACGGTGATTCATTTCTGTTTTTGCACATACATCCAATCACACATGTGCACGTGCACACATACACACCATACCCTTTGAGGTTAAGGCTGAGGAAAACAGAAATAGACAATATTTATATTCGAGGACTTCAGAGAACAGCTAGAATTTCAGAGTCATAGGCTATCTGGTGTCACAGGAACTGCCACTCCTGAGATGTCCCTGGGCTGATTTCAAATAATCATCCTGGGGAGCCCTCAGGACCCTTCTCTTTCCTTGGAGCTGAAGAAACTCGTTTTCTCTTTGGACCAAGCAGTGTACCCTCTCAGTCAGAAGGAGAGTCACACTCCAGCCTCTTGGAACTTTGAAGAGAGAGAGCGAGAGAGAGCGAGAGAGAGAGAGAGAGCGAGAGCGCTACATTATGGAAAACCAGTATCCCGGAGCTTACCTGGGTGGCTAAACCTTTCAACTCTCCATCAGCAGGTGGTGTGACCTGTTGAAGTGCTTCCCAAACCTGAATGTGCAGACTGGGGTCTTGTTAAAATGCAGAATCTGATTCAGTGGCTCTGGGTGAACCTGAAACTGTGCATTTCTTCAGTTTTTTAAAAAATTTTTGATTACATTTTGCATTCAACACCAATCTGTATTAGTTTCAGGTGCATAGCACAGCAGATAGAGACATTCATACAGAGGTTACAAAGTGTTCCCTTGAAACTCTGCATTTCTAACATGATCTCTGGCGATGCCAAAGCTGCCGGGCTGTGAGCCATCCTTTGAGGAGCTGAGGCCAAGTGGACCGAGGGCAGGATCTGGCTTAAGGCCATCTGGGTTCAAGCCCATTGCTAGTTCAGCTAGCTGAATCTCCTGGGCAAGTTCACGCAGTTAACCTCTCCAGCCACATTGGTTCCTCCCTTTCACTGGCATTGCCTTGTTCCCACGATATAGCGCTAAAATCGTGGGCTCCGGAGCCAGGCTGGCTGGCTTTGAATCCCGGCTCTGCCTCATTATGTGACCCTGGGTAAGTAACTTAACCTTGCTGGGCCTCAGATTCCTCATACGGCAGTGCTGACCTCTCGGGCTCTCTGTGAGGATTAAATGAGTATTAGTACACATAATTGTTTGGAATAGTACCTGACCCATAATAAACACCCCGCAGATGGTGGCCATACTCTGTGAGCATGCTCTGTGAATTAAAGTGCAAACAAATGCCTCCTCTTTTTGACCCAGAGAAAGATAATTCCAGTGAAGACAGCATTCCGTGCACTCGCGACCTCAGTTGGAGGGATTCCTTCACCTATGGAGAGTGGGAAAGGGAGAACCCCTCTGGGCCGCAGCCCCTCTCACTCCTCAGCACGTTGGCAGCCTCCACGAGGCCACAGCTGACTCTATTCATAGGTACGGTCATGGGGTTCATCTGGCTGCCTCCAGGGGAAGGACCTGGAGTTTGACCTCAGGCAGGGGTTCAGATCCTGGGTCCCGAGGGTACTGCCTGGAGGCTGTGCGGTGGGAGTTGGGGGTGCCAGCCACAGCACTTCAGCCATTTTCCCCTGCCCTGTTCTTCTTTACCTCCAACTGGGCTGAGTGAAACGCTGAGTGTGGCACCTCGGGAGCCCCCAGAGGCCTTTGTGAGTTCCTACAAAGTGGCTCTGAGGGGGTAGAGACTGGGATGGCACTGTTGTCGCTAGAGCTGCTTTCTCTCTGTGGGTGGAGACAGGGCTGCCTCTGCAGTTCCGAGGGCTCTGCCTTTGAGGAGGCGAGGAGCCGGCTCTCCCTTTTCCTTTTCAGAGCTCCTGGGGAGCCCCAACCGTCTGCTGCAGAAAGTGAGGAGGAGCGTGGCCAGGAGGGGTGGGAGTAGGGGCAACTTCCCTGGGCCCAGCCCTTATCTCTCCATGCTCCGAGGCTCATCCATCCACCCATCCACCCATCCATCCATCCACCCATCCATACATTCATTTAACACACATTCATTAACTACTTCCTATGTGCCTCTGTCTAACCCAGTGGTTCCCAACCTGTTTTTGGCCATGTCCCATCTAAGCATCTCTAACATCCTGATACCCCCCCCCCGTGACATATAATTCTTATTATTCAAAAAGTGAACTCCTATTCATGTGGAGGACACCTAAAAGGCCATTAACTTGGTCTAAACAAGCTTCCAAAGAACATAGCATCCATGAAAGAGAAAAATAAAAGAATGAAAGGACAGTTGAAGTACTGAGGAAGAAATCACTAAGAAATTGTTTAAAAAATAGTAAAAATATGAAGTGATATGAAAAAATAGCAAATAAAGTTTCAAAACATATAATAGAGAACTGAAATGCATGAATATGTCACAATATATATTTATATACTGTATATGAGGCCCCTAGAACCATAAGAAATGCAAAAAATTCACTGTTAATAACTCATTCTCAAATCGCCCCTCTTAAAAATCAAATTGCCCCCAGTGGGTCATGTGCCCCATGTTGGGAACCACTGGTGTAACCGGAGATAGGTAGAGTGGTTTCTGTTTTCTAAAGTCAAATATTATTAATAAACCACTAACTCTTATAAGATACCTGTTATTAATAGTTGACAATTTAAAAAGTTAACACAAATATCTGTGTGCCCACAGAAGAGCTACTTAGGCAAGCTATATCTTATTGAATTTGTTCTCTCTTAAATTAACAGGAAATTCTATTTGAGCCACCCTTTCACACTGGGGAGAATCGAAGCGGCCCTCACCAACACCGCTCTGCAGCATTCAACTTCCTGAGGGACTCTGTCTGGATGGAGAGAAGGAGAAAGCTGCAGCCAAGGAAAAACTAGCATCACCTCCCGCGGATAGCATAGCCTTTCCTTGGAGACCCGTTTGGGAGCTTGGCTTCCAGATGAAAAGCATTATCCAGCACGTAACTGTGACCTCCTCGCCTCCTTTCCACCACCAGGCAGGCACAAGAAGACATGCTCTCGGAAGGGCCAGGACCACCGAGAGAAAGAGAAAAGGGAGGAAAGGCGAGCAGGATCAGAGGAGAGGTGGAAGAGAACAAGATGGAGGTGAAGAGGAAGGTGGGGGGAGAAGTCAGAAAAGACGGGAGATACGGAGAGGTGGTAAGAGAAGGAAACAGGAGAGACTTGGGAGAGAAGCTGGAGAACAAGAGAAGAAATATACCTCTGAGAGATGCCTCACCAAGCTTCTATTTACCTAATTTAAAACTTGAAAGTAAGGCCGTATAAAAAAAAAATGTGTTTTCTTCTCTGCTTAGACTAGTATAAGGGGCCAGATATGAATTCTAGCCAAGGGCCTCTCTCTTTCCCTTTTGGCCAGTTTTTTTTTTTCTTTTTCATGTTTCTTCATTTCAAAGAAGTTGGGGTTGTTTTTCCCATCACCATTTATCCCCTCTGTACCCTCTACCACCTCCACCCACCCCTCAGGTTTTCTTGTTAGTCCCCCTTTTCTGAGTTAAGTTTGGGACCTTCTTTCTTAGCCCATTCCTAACTTGGACTTGCTAGCCGGGCCCTGTTGTCCCAAATGGAGGCTTGGGTGTGAGACTACACAAGATTCCTGCAGGAGGTTGTCAGGCAAGATGTGTGAGATAGAGGGGATTTCTCTTGTATTTAAACTTGCTAACTTGGCTCATGTCTCAGCCCTACAAACACTGGCTCGATTTGTTTCATATATGACACCCCCTTGAAATGTCAACACACCTTGTTAGTGCTCATTAAATGATCAATTCCAAAGAGAGGACATACAGGCCCCAAGCACAGGTGAAATCAGAGGTTCATAGATTATAGACCGAGAGAGTTATCAATGAGTGTCTGTCAGATGGCCCATGGACCAGCCTCTTTTTAAAATGGGCAGTATTTCACCTTCAATAAAAACCAGGCTATGAGTATTTCAGAAAGGCTGCCCACCCTTCCAATTGGAAAGTGTTTTTGGAGCTCTTGCTTTGATTCAAGATTTCCTAGGAGGGTCTTTTTCTTCACTGAAGTGGTTTTCAGACTGAAATTGTTGGAGGGCTAAAAAGTAAGCTCCTGGACGTAAGCTCCAAGGAAGCGTTAGGTTCTAATTCTTAGTGATTTCGATAGCCACATAGATGATTCTTCCCATGGTCCCTGTTGTTTGAACTGCTGCCCAATGGTCTCATCCTCCACCCTCCTCAGCCACTGACTCCCCTGATTTTACCCTAGAGTTTGTCAATAATCCATTATTGCCATTCTTCAGCTATACCACCTCCTATCTTTTCCCCTGAGTCCAATATCCTTCCACCCTACCAACCCTGCAAACTATTGCTCCTTCTGGGTTTTCACTGTCCCTCACTTTCCTCATGCTCTAGGTGACCCCATCATGGAGATAGTACTAAAGGGAAAGAAGTTGAGGTTGTTCAATACAGCTAGCGGTTGATACTGTTGGCATAAGAAATGGTCAAACCTGTAGACAATTTTTATGAATTTATTTGAGCCACTGATGACAATTGCCAGGAAGCAAAATCTAAATGGATCGAGAAAATGCTCTGGAGAATGGCAGTTTTGTAGCTTATTTTATTTTATTAAATATGGTTTTATTGATCTCAGAGAGGAATAAAGAGAGAGAGAGAGATAGAAACATCAATGATGGGAGAGAATCATTGATCAGCTGCCTCCTGCATGTCCCCCGCTGGGGATTGAGCTCGCAACCCGGGCATGTGCCCAGGACTCTTCAGTCTGCCGGCCAATACTCTTTCCACTGAGCCAAATCAGCTAGGGCTGTAGCTTATTTTATACATGAGAATAAAAGGAGGAGATGTAAGGAGGGTTACATGAAATCCCTTGGTGGTAGATTAGGGAAGTAGGAGAGAGCAAAACTGGGGAATCTCTGAGATTGGCTAAAAAGCAATATGGAGAAAAACATCTTTTACATTGGTGGGTACAGGATAGTGAATAATTAAAATTTACAGCATATAGAGATGGTATGTGAAGGACAAGAAAACAATGAGGGGTTCTGTGGTCTCGGATGATTGTGCACTGAGGGGGTCTGGAAAAGATTACTTGGACATTTCAAAGGTATGTTATTTTATATGCAAAACGACAATAGAGACCCTAGCCTGGTAGCACAGTTGGTTAGAGCATCATCGGACACACCAAGGTTTCCGGTTTGATCCCCAGTCAGGGTACATACAAGAATCACCCAATAAATGCATAAATAAGTGGAAAAACAAATTGACGTTTTTCCCTCTTTCTCCCTTCCTCCCTCCCTCTCTCTGTAAAAAAAACAAACAAAAAAAACAAACAAACAAAAAAATTATTCAAGGCAATAGCCTCAGTTAAGGTAGATTGACCATTGTCGCCAGGCAGTGCGGCTCAGTGGTTGAGCATCGACCTATGAACCAGGAGGTCAGGGTTCTATAACCCGTCAAGGCACATGCGGGGGTTGCGGGCTCCATCCCCATCATTGCTGTAGGTCCCTCTGCCTTCCTGTCTGAAATCAATAAAAACATATTAAAAAGAAAAAGATTGCTCTAACCGGTTTGGCTCAGTGGATAGAGCGTCAGCCTGCAGACTGAAGGGTCCCAGGTTCGATTCCGGTCAGGGGCATGTACCTTGGCTGTGGGCACATCCCCAGGAGGGGGTGTGCAGGAGGCAGCTGATCCATGTTTCTCTCTCATTGATGTTTCTAACTCTCTATCCCTCTCCCTTCCTCTCTGTAAAAAATCAATAAAACATATTTTAAAAAATAAAAAATAATTTTAAAAAAGATTGACCTTTGTCAAGGAAGCTATCACCCACCATGACCCGCTTTTAGACAGACTTCTTTTATGTTCAGACTGTCCGGTGTGGTTGCTTTTGGCCTCTGAGTTTGTAAGGCCCGCTGTGGAGGCCTCCCCAGAGCGGCTCGGGTTTAGCAAGTGGCCCCTTTTTCATTCACAGCACAGTGGGATGGATCCAACCCCAGGCGCTGGGGCAGGCGGTAACTAGCAGGGTCATCCAAGAAGCCCTGCCGAGGCCCAGTCACGCGCTGTGACCCAGGAGCGGATGCAGGCGGCCGCGCCCACAAGCTGCCC